GGCGGGGCGGGGCGGGGCGGGGCCGCGGGTCGCGATCAGCTCCTTGCGGCCGCCGAGTCCCGAGAGCTGGGCCCCTCGGCTGCCCGCGACCTCAGGGTCTCAGAGCCTCTTGTCCCTGGAACTGCTCCCAGTGGAAACGGGGCGCCTGGGGCCGTAGGAGGCGTCACTGGCCCCAAAGTGCCATCGTCCCAATTCTAGTTTCAGTGTCATGAGCACAGCCGTGCGCGGGACGCTGTGCAAAGTACAGCCTCTGCGACTTGTCGGCCGGGGTTAGCGTGCAGCAGTTTGCAAGGAACAGCTGCGGCTCTTAGTTTCGTTTTTGTTTCTTCAGCTCCCATTTATTTAGCACCCCTCATGGGTTGTAACGTACTGCTTTAAAAAATCTTTTTCAATCACCACCATAATTGTGGGATATTACTATCTCTATTTTACAGATGAGGCAACGGGTTCAGAGCGGGAGGGTCAGTTTCTGTTAATTCTAAAAAACGTGTTGAGTGCCCAGGATGTGCTCGGTCCTGCCCTAGCGATAAGTACCTCTAAACTGCAGGCTGCATGGAGACGCAGGGCGACACTCCAGCATAATAAACGCCCTTACAGCTTGAATTGGGTGGGGATCGTACAGGAGAAGGAAGGCTTTCCAAGGGGACTGGAGTCTAAGAGGAGCCTAGAGGGTGTCCAGACCAAGGGGTGAGGTGTGGAAGGCAGAGTGAAGACCTGCTTGCTGTGATCTAAATAGACCTGAGGGGGACCTGACCTCTGGCTACCAGGAAGAGAATGAAGTGGTTAGGGAGGGAGGGAGAGAGAAAGGCTGGTGCAGTTGTGGTCTAGGAGAGAGAGGGAGGTTGCTGGAGAAGTAGGCAGATTTAGGAACCATTCAGGAGTTGGATTTATTTGTAGGACGTGGTGCTTGACGGATTTAGGGGCAGGAGGAGGGACAGGGAAAAATCAAGGGCAAAGCAGGTTTCTGGTGTGGGCACCGGGTGGTGCTATTCACTTGGTATTGGGGCAGAAAAGGAGGAGGGAGTTTGTGGAAAGAGTCCTTCATTCCATGAACAAACAATAATTGAGTCCCTCCCTGTGCTAGGCACTGCTTTAGGTTCTGGGGAATAGAGCAGTGAATGGGGATCATGTTCTTTCCACAGTGTGGGTCAAAGTTAGGCCTTGAAGGGGCAAGCGCTAAGGCGCCTGGATACAGGGAAAGGAAAGGAGGAAGAGAGCAGGGCCCAGGCAGTCATCTGTGGGAATCCCAGACAGGGTTTTGAGATGCCCTCTGGTGCCCAGTGGAGCTCTTTGAGGGTGGCTGTGCTGAGGATGAAGAGCAGGGAGCCCACTGATGAGGAGCGAGGCTGTGGGAGCTTCTGCCCAGGGGGCACAGGGCGTGCAGTGCACAGCCCCAGAACCCTGAAGAGTGGCAGCTCGAAGAGGAAGGGAACTGGCAAAGAAGACTGGTTATGGGTAGTCTGCAGAGGGTTTGAAATCTTGGTTCTCATTTGATTTTTAGGTAATGCATGTATGGGACAAAAGTCCTTGGCCAGGGCGCAAAAGCCCACAGCTAGCAGGCAACAGCCCATCTAATCAACTCTCATCACTGCTTAGGTATGGGATTGTATACTTTAATGATTTTAGAGCTAACAGGTGGTTGACATACCAATCCTGTTAAGAGATTTTAAAGAATTCCTGTAGGGAAAAATGTGAAAAAATGTTTGCTAAGGGCCAGCTGTTTGTCAGTGGAAACTTTAGAGACAATTATACTTAGATTTAATCATAAGAATGTAACTTTTGCTTAAATCGTTTGAGAAGTTATGTTTTAGGTAACGATCACAGTTTGATCATCTTAGTTTTTCATAAATTGTACTTTGGAATGTCATGTTGTTAATTTTAACGATGTTACTAGTTTCCATTGTTTAAGCTATACTTAGCCATAGATAACTTTTGTAACACTGCCTATGTCTTTGTGTCTTTTTGAAATAATTGAATCAACTGATTTTTCTTGTGAAACTTCCTTGTCTTTACAATAAAAAACAGAAGCTAAGTTTGAATCAGGGCTGTACCCAGTTTTCTCCTAACAGGAGTTGCTGAGGTGCAGTCCCTTCGGGCTTCTCATTGCCTTCATGTTGCTTTGAGTAATCCTTTCTTGCATCTCCGTAACACAGCAAGAAGTCTAACAGCAGTCTACGGAAAGCCTACTGCATGCTAATATTTAATATGTAGTAAGGCAAAACATATGTAAAGTGTACAAATCTTAAATGAACTTAATGATTTTTTACATTTCTGTAAACCAGTAGTAAACTGGTAAATGTTTAACAACTGGCTCTGTTAGGGGGTGGGGGACTGATTTGTGTTTTGATAATTTCCACGGTATAAACTCTCCTGTCACGGTTGTTGTCAGTGGGAGACCATTTCCAACTCCCTGGAGGCTCCCTTGTGCCCCTCGCAGCCCATGCCCACTCCCCTCCCCCAGAGGTAACTGTTGTCCTCACTCTGCTCACCAGAGATTAGTCTTTTTACACTTCATACAAATGGAATCATACAGTATTTACCTTTATTTTCTTTCATGAATATTTGGTTTGTGTCCAGATTTTGGCAATAATAAATAGAGCTGCAGTGCACAGTCTTTTGGGGAGGAGATGCACTCACTTCTTGTTGGTATACACCTAGCTTCACACAGTAGCTAACTTTCCCTGAGGACTTACCTAAGTGCCGGGAATCACGCTCTCCCCACACTGAGATGCACCCCAAGCAGTATCACTGAAGATATTTGACCTGTTTCTTACAAAATTTACATTTGTGTAAAATGTTATTTTAAGTCTCACTAGTGAAATATGGTTGTCCTAATAAAACACAAAATTTAAGAAGCTAAAAAATTTACAAAAAAGAGATGCTAATTAGCCAATGCAGCTCCGTGGAGGAAACTGATTATTCTCACTCATGCTTGCTATTGGCTAAAATCTTAAAATATAATGCATCTAATGTTATGGTTAATGCTTGCAGTCAGACTTACAATGGAAATGGAGTCACCAGAAGGAAAGCAGAGGTGTTCAATTTTTAACTGTGGACCACTGAAATCTGAAACACACAACTTATCTATTGAGGCGAATGAGATAATGAGTCACCTGTACACTGTGGAACCTTGACAGTGACAAACCCACATTTTTATAAAACCCCAAGTCAGAAGTAGTCTGCAGGTGTAACGCCCACATGTCATCTTGTAAATATGGGGGCTCTGAGAAGAGATGGTGGCCAATTTCATTGCATGTGACATGCCCAGAGCACTCTGCCAGGTACCTGGCACCACCTCGCTGAATCCACAGGGTGTCTGTGAGGTGGGGCTGCCCATTCTACATGGGAATAAATAGTATGTCACAGGCTAAGGTCCCACAGCTGGTAAGTAGCAGAGCAGGAACTTGAACCCAGGGCTGACTTGAAAGTCACTGCCCAAGCATGTTTGCTATGTTGCATACCCCCAACCCCATCACAAATAAGGTGGCCTCAGAGAAAACATGCACAAGATGGGTAGGAATTCTCATTTTGCTAAGTGCCAGCAGGAAGTCCCAGGGAGCTGTGGGTACCTGTGTGCCCAGGAGCAGAAGGATGGCTCGGCTGGTTCCTCCCTTGCCATATCTGAGGGGCGGATAAGAGCTGTCTTCATATTCCTGGAGCTGCAAACTCACACTCAGAGAACTCCCGGGAGGGTTGCTGAGCACCGGAGTCACAGGTACCTACACAAATGGTTTCCTTTGTCAATCTACTTCTTCCCAGGAATGGAGTTCCCAGGACATATGGGAGAGAGCATATCCCCGCGGTAGCTGCCCTTTGGCCTCCTGAGCACCTCAGGGGGGTCTATGTGTCCAGGCCGTCTGTCCATCCATCCATCC